TAGGGTTTAGGGGTTTAGGGCTAAAACCTGAACTGCTACACCCTAAACCGCAAACAGGCGCCTGATTTAAAAAATCCAAGGGCTTGTTCAGGGTTCTTTGTATGAGTCCTAATACCTTGGGGTTATAGGGCCAGGGTTTCTTAATGAGGATCCTACAAAAGGGTTTAGGGTTTAGGGCTCTAGGGGTTAGGGTTTTGCGGTTTAGGGTTTAGGGGTTGAGGGACAAATGATTGTCGGGCTTAGGATTTAGGGGTAGTTCAAGAATGCCATCCTCAATCCTGCATGCACCCCCCCCCCCCCCGCCGCCCGATGCCCATCTGCTAAAGAAGCCTGTATCATTAGCAATAATACAATTCCTTACGGCCCCTGTTCCACTGAAGCATTTCAGTCCAAAGCCAAGGCCCGTAAGAGGAAAGCATCAACCAACATGCTTATCCCAACTCCAATATACAAGAATACACAATGTCCGATACAAATGCTTTCCTGGCTATGGTGCCTACATGACGAAATACCAAGCTCCTGAACAAGAAGTATCATGGTCACCTGGAACTCATCTCCCTAATCACAAAGCGAAGGCACTAAGCCTAACAGAAGAGACCGGCCGTGGGGCGGTAGCCCGATCCCACTGCCACCCCTAAACTCCCACCCCCAAACCCGCATACCCTCTACCCCAGCCTCCTTCACATCATCGTCATCCTTGGTCGAGCTCAGAGAGGTCAAAGACTCCGAGAAGCTTCGATGGCTGAGCAGGGGAGACGTACAGCCGCAAAAAGATGCTGCAAACTTATTGTTCCATAGTTCACAGAATCCCGATGAGAACAACAACAACAACAACAGCAGGGACACACGACAGGTAAATGCTACGACAGGCATTCCTGGATCACTGCTCCATCTTTGTGATGCAGTAGGAGACAACGAAGTCTCAAGAGCACCTCTGACGATCTGTCTCTCTTTTCTCTTGCTGGATACCGACCGTACTACGCAGTACGGATGCCCAGACAACAGATATAGAACATTGTAGATGCCCTACAACAGATATAGAACATTCTAGAACGGTGTAAAAAGTGCAAACATGTATCAACATCCCAAGTATCTTGCAGCACTTTGGCTTGCAGTTGAATGCTTAGATTTAAGCGCTGAAGTCTGGAGTGTGGAGGATGATCGACAAACCGCTTTTCAACCCAGACCCTAAACCCTAAACCCTAAACTAGGCCCTAAGCCCTAAACCCTAAACTAGGCCCTAATCCATAAACCCTAAACTAGGCCCTAAGCCCTAAACCCTAAACTAAGCCCTAAACCCTAAACCCTAAACCTTGGACCCTAAACCCTACACCATAAACCCTAAACCCTAAACCCCAACCCCTAAGTTGCCTAATAGCTGGGACGGCGTGCGTGCGAGAGGGCCAGCGTAATCGCTCGCTCGATGCGGTCACCGAGTTCTGGCTGCACCTCGAAACTTGGGTTTCCTTTTAAAGGGTTCCTTAAAGGGTTCTATAAGACCTACTATAAAGGTTTAGGGTTTAGGGTTTAGGGTTTAAGGCTTTAGGGTTTTAGGGTTTAGGGTTTAGGGTTTTCGGGTTTAGGGTTTCGGGTTTCGGGTTTAAGGGTTTTGGGTTTACGATTTTGGGTTTTTTGGATTTAGGGTTTTAGGGTTTAGGGTTTTAGGGTTTCGGGTTTTAGGGTTTTTTGGGCTTGAGGGTTTCGGGTTTAGGGTTTTAGGGTTTTAGGGTTTAGGGTTTGGGGTTTAGGGTTTAAGGGTTTGGGGTTTAGGGTTTAGGGTCCATCAGTCAGAGATCGTGTGAGAGAGAGAGTGTGTGTGTGTGTGTGTCTGTGTGTGTGTGTGCGTGTGCGTGTTCGTCCGTGTTTGTGGTTTGGGGCAATATAGGGGCCTTATTACATTTTTTGGGGCTGCTTTTTATAATTATAGCAGACTATACCCCAAAAGCCAATTTTAATTATTCAGGCCTCTAAACCCTAAACCCTTATAGTAGCCCTGACAGAGCCCCTTACGGAACCCCAAAACCCCTATTCTACTTATTTTCGGCCCCTACACCCTAAACCCTAAACCCTGAAACCTAAACCCTAAACCCTAAACCCTCGTAGTATCCCTTACAGAACCCTTTAATTTAAGGAACCCTTGAAAGGAACCCTGTTCTACTTATCCCTAAACCCTAAACCCTAAACCCTAAACCCTAAACCCTAAACCCTACAGTAGTGTGCCAGGGTGAAAGGTCCAGACATGTCCAGACCAGGGCAGCTGTGGGTTGGCTCAGATTCGAGGTCAAGAATTTCGGTCCGGGCTTTGGGGTTTTGGGTTTAGGGGTTTAGGTTTTAGGGTTTAAGGTTTTAGGGTTTAGGGGTTTAGGTCTTAGGGTTTAGGGTTTTGGGTTTAGGTTATAGGGTTTAGGGTTTAGGGGTTTAGGTTTAGGGGTTTAATTAGGGGTTTAGGGTTTAGGGCTTAGGGTTTAGGGGCAAGTGGCTCCACCACCTGAAGCCTAACCCTAAATCCTAAACCCCCAAACCCTAAACCCTAAACCCAAGACCCGAAACCCTAAACCCAAACCCCTCAATCCTAAACCTGGAAGCTTGTCAAGCCCCCTGCCCTGGCCCATAAGCCCCTAAACCGCTAGGCCCCTAATGTTAGGCCTGATTAGTTAGCATAGGGGCTCCTTTGAAGGGTTGTCGGCGCCCGGCTGCGGCTCGCTGGCTCGCGTGACCGGGCTGACGATTGTGGCATCGAGCGCGAGCTGCGCTCCGTGCCGGAGGGGTAGGGTAGGCCGTGGGCAAACCGTTTTCTCCTCCGTGGGAAGAATTTCCAACCATGGCTGTAGCCATGTGAGGCTCCTCTGTTGCCAGCAAACCTGGAGCTGTGTGTGACGAAAGTGAAGGTTGAGAGGTGCTTCGTCAGTCGTCTAACATGGGACAGAACTTTGCGGGTAT